CATTAGTAACTACTGAAACAATTAAAAGGATTCAGTCAAATTTCAGGATATGCTATGGATTGAATGTTTGTGGCCCTGTCCCCTAAATGTATATGTTAAAGCCTAATCTCCAGTGTGATAATATTTGAAGGTGGAGCCTTTGGGATATAATTAAGTCATTAGGGCAGAGCCCCTATGGATGGGATTAGTGCTCTTATACGAGGTGGCCAGAGAACTAGCTCTCTCTCTGCTCTCCACCATGTGAGGGTACAATGAGAAGACAGCCATTTGGAACCAGGAAGAGGGCCTATCGCTGGGAACCAAATTGGCCTGTACTTCTTATCTTGGACTTTCCAGCCTCCAGAACTGTGAGAAATATATGTTTATTATTTCAGCCACTCATTCTATGGTAATTTATTATAACAGCCTGAACTAAGACAAGATACAGTATCAATGCTTAAAAATCATGAGGGAGGAGTTTGAGTTGCCGGGCGGCCACGAGGATCTGCGTCCAAATGCGTGTGCCAGTCGAGATGTCGCATCCGTCCCCCCAAGTCAAGCCCTCCAACCCCAGTAACCCTCGAGTCTTCTTTGACGTGGACATCGGAGGGGAGCGAGTTGGTCGAATTGTCTTAGAATTGTTTGCAGATATTGTACCCAAAACTGCGGAAAATTTTCGTGCACTGTGTACAGGACAAAAAGGCATTGGACCCACGACTGGGAAACCTCTCCATTTCAAAGGATGCCTTTTTCATCGAATTATTAAGAAATTTATGATTCAGGGTGGAGACTTCTCAAATCAGAATGGGACAGGTGGAGAAAGTATTTATGGTGAAAAATTTGAAGATGAAAATTTCCATTATAAGCATGATTGGGAGGGTTTACTGAGCATGGCAAACGCAGGTTGCAACACAAATGGTTCTCAGTTTTTTATAACAACAGTTCCAACTCCTCATTTGGATGGGAAACATGTGGTGTTTGGCCAAGTAGTTAAAGGAATAGGAGTGACAAGGATATTGGAAAATGTGGAAGTGAAAGGTGAAAAACCTGCTAAATTGTGCATTATTGCAGAATGTGGAGAATTGAAGGAAGGAGATGATTGGGGAATATTCCCAAAAGATGGCTCTGGCGGCAGTCATCCAGATTTCCCTGAGGATGCGGATATAGATTTAAAAGATGTAGATAAAATTTTATTAATAACAGAAGACTTAAAAAATATTGGAAATACTTTTTTCAAATCCCAGAACTGGGAGATGGCCATTAAAAAATATGCAAAAGTTTTAAGATATGTGGACAGTTCAAAGGCTGTTATTGAGACAGCAGATAGAGCCAAACTGCAACCTACAGCTTTAAGCTGTGTACTGAATATTGGTGCTTGTAAACTGAAGATGTCAAATTGGCAGGGAGCAATTGACAGTTGTTTGGAGGCTCTTGAAATAGACCCATCAAATACCAAAGCATTGTACCGCAGAGCTCAAGGATGGCAAGGATTAAAAGAATATGATCAAGCATTGGCTGATCTTAAGAAAGCAGAGGAGATAGCACCAGAAGATAAAGCTATCCAGGCAGAACTGTTGAAAGTCAAACAAAAGATAAAGTCACAGAAAGAGAAAGAGAAGGCAGTATATGCAAAAATGTTTGCTTAGAAAGCATTCAGTTTTGCTTATTGTGTGTTGTGTAAATGCAATAAGAAAATGTAAAGTTTTTTGTCTATTAATATGATCCCTAATGTGTTTCTTTTGACCCCTTAGTTCCTTATTGTTTACAGTTTAGGAGTACTGATAGGGGTTCATGCTTAATAAACGTGTCACAATACAGTCAATAAAGTGGTTTTGTTTGTTTCTTTGAGATGGAGTCTTGCTCTGTCACCCAGGCTGGAGTGCAGTGGCACGATCTCGGCTCACTGCATCCTCTGCCTCCCGGATTCAAGTGATTCTCCTGCCTCAGCTTCCCAAGTAGCTGGGATTACAAGCATATGCCACCACGCCTGGCTAATTTTTGTATTTTTAGTAGAGATGGGGTTTCACCATATTGGTCACGTCACGCTGGTCTTGAACTCCTGACCTCGTGATCTGCCCCTGCCTTGGCCTCCCAAAGTGCTGGGATTACAGGTGTGAGCCACCATGCCCGATGAAGTAAAATGTTTTTAAAAATGGTTATCTGCATTATTCATAAAGAATAATGGTGTCCAGTCTTTTTAAACTTGTAAAGACACATCTTATTGAATAAAGAGATGACAGTTTAGTTTGTAAAAAAAAAAAAAAAAAAAAAAAGAAATCATGAGGGCTCAATCCCACAAGACTGCCCTGCACTTTAGATGCCAATTACAAGTTCCAGGTTATGATCTGTACTTCTAACAGAACAACTATAAATCAGGGTTCTCGTTCAATTAATTTGCTGGAGAAGCTCACAGAACTCAGGGAAACACTTCACTTACATTTACCCATCTATTGAAAAGGATATTACAGAAGATACAGATGAACACCCAGAAGGAAAAGATATATTGGGCAAGGTATGTGGAATGGGGCACCAGGCTTCCATGCCCTGTTCAAGTGAGGCACCCTTCAGGAACCTCCAGGTGTGCAGCTATCCCAAAGCTCTCTTAACCTTGTTATTTTGGGTTCTTATGGAGGCTTCATTATGTAGACATCATTGGCCATTGGTGATCGATTCAACCTTTAACTCCTCTCTGCTCCAATCTTCTAATCATGCCCTGGTCTTTCCAGTGAACAGCCCACATCCTGAAGATATCTAGGGTCTGCCAATCATCAGTCATCTTATTAGCATACAAAAGACACTCTTATCGCTCAGAATACTTCAAGGGTTTTAGGGGCTGTATGCCAGAAAAGGAGATCAAAGAGTAAATATATATTTCACAACATCACAGTGAATAATTCCATTTACCATAGCATCAAAAAGAATAAAATAACTTAGAAATAAATCTAACCAAAACTACAAAACATTGCGGAAATAATTTAAAGAAGATCTAAATAAATTCCAAGATACCCAGTGTTCATAGGAAACTCTGTTCGTGGGAAATTATGTCCTCTGGAAACTCTGTGTTCAGGGATTGTAAGGCAATATTGTTGAGATAACAATACTCCCCAAGTTTATCTACAGAGTCAGTGCAACCCTTATCAAAATCCCAATGGCCCTTTTGTTCAGAAAAGGAAAAGACAATCCTAAAATTCATATGGAGTCGAAAGCGACCATGAAATTAGCTGGGCATGGCGGCACACGCCTGTAACCCCAGTACTCAGGATGGTGAGGCAGGAGAATCGCTTGAACCCAGGAGGCGGAGGCTGCAGTGAGCCGAGATCGTGTCACTGCACTCTAGCCTGGGCGACAGAGCAAGACTCCGTCTCAAAAAAAAAAAAAAAAAAAAAAAAAGGGACCATGGGTAGCTAATAAAATCGTAATAATATTTTCAGAGAAATCACACTTACTGATTTCAAACACACTGCACAGTTACAGTAATCAAAAAATAAATGTGGCTCTTGCATAAGGATAAATAAAAAACATGGTTTTCGCATACAATTCTATGAGATAGAATTAGGAGTCCAGATATAAGCCTATACATCTGTAGTAAATTGATTTTCAACAAGTATGCCAAGACAATTAAATGAGCTAAGAATTGTCTCTCCAACAGAAGGTGCTGAGACAACTGGATATCCATGTGCAAAAGAATGAATTTGGTCCCCTTTCATCACACCATGTCTTCATCACACCATATGTAATAATTAACTCAAAATGAGTCAAAGACATAAATATAAGAGCTAAAAACAAACAAAATTTTACAAGAAAATATAGGGGTACATTTTCATGAACTTGGATTTGGCAACGTTTAGTTAGATGTGACTCCAAAAGCACAACCAAGTTTTAAGCTTTTGTGCATCAAAAATACTATCAAGAAAGTGAAAAGACACCCCACAAAACGGGATAAAATATTTTCAAATCATATATCTTTTAAGGTTCTCCTATCCAGAATTTAAAAAGAACAATTAACAGCCCTGCTACAAACAATTCAATTAAAAAATGAATAAAGCACTTGAAATAGACATTTCTCCAAAGATACACAAATGTCCAACAAGCACACAAAAAGATGCTCATTCTCATTAGTCATTAGAGAAATGCAAAATAAAACCACAATAAGATACCTCTTCATACCCACTAGGATGGCTGTAACGATAAAAACGATGGAATCATTTCTATAATGTCTTTCTCCACAGATTTATGATCTCACAAAATCCTGTTTTAATTATAGCAATTGTTCTGAGTTATAAGTTTAGTGTCTAGGTTATTCTGTTCAAGTGAACAGAATAACTCATGAGAAAGCACAATTTATAGGTATTTAAAAATTAAACGTCTGAAGATAGGAGGCAACGGCAAAATTATGAAAAATCCTAATGCTGAATTTTATGAAGCTACTACAAAACATGTTCTCAGAAAATATCTAAAAAACTGAGCAAATGTTTATTCTATATGCAAATAGGCAGGGCATGAAAGTGCGTATGCAAAATTATCCAAGCTTTGTAAGAGCTTAGAAAAAAGGAAAAGGAAATCCTGAGTGTTATTATTTCACTGTGAGCCCTGGAAAATGGGAGGCCAGCTTACAGTTATTTTCTCTTCATGCCAATTTTCTGAATTTTACAGTGTCAATATTGTGCATGCAATTATTTTGCAATCAGGGGAAAAGAAAAGAAATCCTCAAGAAGTTAAGTCTGGGAATGACAAGTCAGTAAAAATTACGTAGATTGGGTCAAGATGGCAGCCTGAACACTGAGCACTAGCGCATTTCTCTTGTCCTACAACAAATCCCCTTCAATGGCGGGTGGGGGGACGCGGGGAGGGAGGGAAAAGGAAAGTGCCAATTCCGGAAGGGTGGAAAGCAGATGGGGCAGGGGCGCTGAGAGTTGAGGTGAGGTGGGGGGAGGGGGGAGTGCTAAGCCAAGGGAGGTAAACTTATGCAGTGAGAGAGAGGTGGTTGTGGGATCCCCAGCTTCTGATTTGGGGGAAGCTGAGGGACCGAGAGCCTAAGAGCACCTTCCACGCCCAGGGCTGTGGTAGAGGTTGGTGGGGGAGGAGCGCCGCGCGGTGTTTGGCAGGAAGAGGAGGCCTCTCTACTGGCCGGAAGCTGCGCTAGAAAAAGAGGGAGGAGACTGCGGCGCGGCAGCGACTAGAGCGAGTCGGATGTGGCAGAGGGGCTGCGGCCGCCGCCACTGCCACCGCCAACAGGAAGGCGGAGGACGCAGGAGCCAAGAGCAAGGGACGCCGCCACGGTCCTCTTCGCCTGCCCCGCCGCCCTCTTAGAGACACTCCTTGCCTACGGATCATCCTCTCCCAGCTTTTGCAAGCACCGGGCTGCTAGCCCGCTGATATTCCTTCTCTATAGGCTCACTGCTGAGGCTACGGCGAGGTGTCCGATTTGGGCACTTGAGGCCCGCAATCCGGGACGGTGGGGAATCTGCGCCTCCTGGCCGGGTAGTGTTGGAAGCAGGGCGAGGGGAATGGGGAAATGCTTACTATTTTACCGAACCGCAGATCTCTTGCTCTAGCTTAGCCAGACTGAGCTGGGGAGGAAGGTTACTGCAGGCATTCAGCCAGGGTGCCTTGATTTCCAGCTTTGCTATGTAGCTTTCGGGAAAAACGGGCGTGGGTGTACGGGGTGCGCTGATTAGGAGAAAAAGGTCTCCGTGTTATGCACTGATTTTGTTAATTTCCTTTCTCGGTCCACCTGGCAACTGTGCTCCTCCACGCAGGCATGAAGACCCCGTTTGGAAAGGCAGCTGCAGGGCAGCGGTCTGGGACAGGCGCTGGCCACGGCAGCGTGTCTGTTACCATGATGAAGAGGAAGGCTGCACACAAGAAGCATAGGAGCCGACCCATCTCCCAGCCTCGGAGGAACATCGTGGGCTGTAGAATTCAGCACGGATGGAAAGATGGAGATGAACCTCTAACACAGTGGAAAGGAACCGTTCTGGATCAGGTACCTGTAAATCCCTCTCTGTATCTTATCAAATATGATGGATTTGACTGTGTTTATGGATTGGAACTTCACAGAGATGAAAGAGTGTCATCACTTGAAGTCCTTCCTAATAGAGTTGCATCATCTAGAATCAGTGATACACACTTGGCAGAAATAATGGTTGGCAAAGCAGTGGAACATATTTTTGAGACAGAGGAAGGTTCCAAAAATGAATGGAGGGGGATGGTCTTAGCTCAGGCACCTGTCATGAACACATGGTTTTACATTACCTATGAGAAAGATCCTGTATTATATATGTACCAGCTCTTAGATGATTATAAAGACGGTGACCTCCGCATCCTTCAAGATTCCAATGATTCTCCTCCCGCAGAGAGGGAGCCAGGAGAAGTCATAGACAGCCTGGTAGGCAAACAGGTGGAGTATGCCAAAGACGATGGCTCCAAGAGAACTGGCATGGTCATTCATCAGGTAGAAGCAAAACCCTCTGTTTACTTCATCAAATTTGATGATGATTTCCATATCTATGTCTACGATTTGGTAAAAACATCTTAGAGATCATCTTGAAATTTGCCAAATATATGAGACTCTAAATCTGTAGACACAAAAAGTCTTGATTGCTTTCCAGTTTGTAAGAACCATCTTCTCCCTTTTTGCACGTTTTGCTTGGCAAAAAATTGGAACTTCTGCCCTCTCATATGTTTTTGGAAGAAACCTTTTGCCCATCTGTCCAACCTTTTCACTGGTTCCTGTCCACAATTTAACTGTTTAGTGAGAAGGATGAAACCTGACATCCATTGGCTCATACTTTTTTTTTTTTTTATCTTGGGTGGTGTTAATAGATTAAAGGTAGCTGAACACCTCTCACCTCATTCTTTTTGGCACTTGGACTCTACACTCATTGAGGTGTGAAGCTTGCTGAGATACCCCATGTGACTGGCTGGGTAAGTGTCTTTGCAATCTCAAATCTCCCCCAGGTGGCTTCAAAAATCTAACTTGGGAAAGAGTGGGAAGCCCATTTTGGTCTCTTGTTCAAGTTGCATTCTCAATTCTAACTGTACTAAAAGTAAGGCTAATAATTTTGCTCTCTTTCTGGTTCTTTCACCTATTGCTCACCTGTTTTAGATTTAAGAAGGTAATTACTTTGCATTTTAGTACCTAAGCATAGGCTGAGAAACTTCGCAAAACTGATAAGAAGACAAGCATTTAGGGACCAAACTCCAAGTGGAGAGATTCAGATTTCTGGTGGAGCTTAAGTGAAAGGTTTTAGTCATCAGTGGCATTAGGGTCTCTCTTGTCTCCAATAGCTCTGGCTGGTATCTGCAGACATGGAGTGGGTTTTAACTGATACAAGCTGTGCAGGCAGACTTTAGCACAAGTAGTCTTTGCCAGCCCAGAGGAGCATTAAGCCAGGCTCTAGCTAGAATCCTCAGTCACAAGGCAAAGGCTGAGTTTGGCAAGGGTTGACAGATCTGTCCAGAACCTCAAAATGAAAGAACAGAAACCTAGAATCAAGCTGAGATACAGATTTCTTTGCTGTGCTAAGAAAGACTCAGAAGTTTTAGATTTGATTCTTAGGAGACTTCAGAGTCCCAGCATATTAAGTGGGCAAGGCACTTGTGAGAACCAAGAATGGCTGAAAGCAGGCTATACTTCCTTGCAGGGACTGGTGGGCTCATCTATTGTGGTATCCCAGCAGAACTTGGAACACAGTCAGTGGTAGGTAATCTGTAGGCTTAATCATGTTTTAAGTGCTGGCATTGGTAGATAGAAATCTAATAGATTTTTGTTAGTGTTTTGATTTTTAACTCTATCCTGTTTCTTGGCTGTCCCTAAGAAACTCATATGCACATAAGGGTGAGTTCTACTGTGGCAGAAAAGAAAACAATGGAAGGGCCTTTGAGCTTTCCATTATTAAAGAGGCATTGGTGGAGGTTAACCAAAGCCTAGGAAAGAAAAGTTGAAATATAAGTATGGTTTTTGAGAGAAGCACCTGGCCAAAACCAATGCTTTCTCACTGGGGTTCTCACAGAAGCTCCATAGGAGTAACAGCCTAATAAGGCCATGGACTTCTGCACATTTGGGGCTGGGACTCAAGGCAGTACAATCATATTGGGACTGTACTGCAAGATATCTTCCAAATTAGTTTAAGTTCACAGGTCATGGAGTCCAGACTACCGGCACAGATTGGCATCCTGCTGAGGATGAAACAAAGAAGATATTCTCTTTTCTCCTATGTTTTATCTGTCTACTTTGGTTATTAATGCCACTAAGTGTCTACTATGATGTTTGACTGACAACAGCAATGTGAGTCTGTATTGCCCTATGTTCTAAGTCCTGGGGTCATACATTTGCTTTAAAAAACTGTTCTAGTGTCTGGGGACTAGTGTGCTTTCTAATTTTTTTGATGTGAGGTTGATATTGTGATAATCTTATGTCTTATTGACCCTTTGGACTCTTTAATATGTATGATATGCAATTGTGGGGTTAGATTAATTCAACTCCTGAGGTCCTGAAGGAACTACACCCAGTCAAGAGGAAGACAGCCAAGGCTGCAGCTGCTGAAGGAACCCCATATCTGGGCAGACATCTTTGTGAGATCTATATGGCTGAAATGCGAAAAACGAGAAATTGGAAAGGCAGAATTTTGGACGTTAATTCTTTTGGACTTTGAATTAGAAATTTAATTTTGAGCAGTCCTTTTTCCCTTGGAGTTTAATAGTTGATGGGGTGGGGGCGAGGTCATACAGTTCAAACTAAGGCATTTTTATTATGTTGTTGATATTGTATTATTTGGAGTATTTTAATGCTATCTTTGGGAGTCATTGTATAATTGTTGTCAGCTATGTCAGGAAATATGGCTGGACATAATTGTAAATTAGGGCTACAATTGTGATCAAATTTTCAGCCTAGGGTGTAATGTAGCCTTGGAGTTAATTTAATTACTGTTCTATTTTGACTTATTTCAGAGCCTCTTGGGGGCAAAAACAGAACTGCTTACCAATCTTACATTGATGGGAGCAGAACTTTTCTAACATACTGTTGGACTCCCTGGAAGGGGACAGCCACAGCCCTGTTTGTTGACCAGAGTCTTGAGCGTTAACCATTGTGGCTTAAGAGAATAAAAATGTACAAGGGTGTGATGGGATCTATCCTCTTCCTCTCTCCATGCTCCTGACTCAAGAAAAGGAAAAGACTTGCATCTCTCAAAAATGTTTGGAAGAAAGTTCCACCTATCTTCTCTTACACTCATTCAATCTTATGCTTGGGAGGAGGAATAACTTGATGAGATTGAGAAAATTGTTATAATGGATAGGCAGCTTAGGCGGCTCTTGGATCTTGAGTTTGTTCCACACAGCAAGATGTGGGAAAAACTGCAGTCCTTCACTACATGGCTGGGTAAACATCTGCTTTGTAGACCCAACTATCTCTCCTTGGGGTGGGGGATCCCAAAGTCCTTAGACTTATGGTAGAAGTTCATTTCAGCCTCAGGTCCAAGCCGTATTCTCCAATCCAGCTCTATCAGCTATAAAGCTGGTATCTATTTTTATTCTTTTTTACAGTTTTAATATATAAATTGTTTTTTAGAAAAATAACACATGCCTATGGTAAAAGTCAAACAGTACAAAAGAGTATACAATTAAAAAGTAAGTTTCTTTTCCTCCTTCTCACCCCTGGCCTCAGTTCCCCTGTCCCATTTTCAAAAAGTAACAACTGTTACCAGTTACTTATGTATCATTCCAGAGATATTCCATGTATTTACAAGCATATTGTGTGTGGGTATGTGTGTATCAGGTTTTTTTTTTTACACAAATGGTGGCATACTATACATGCTGTTCTGAATTTTGCTTTTTTCACTGAACAATATATTAAAGCTGATATCTTAATCCCTATTTGATTTCTGTGTATATTTTTTAATTGGTTCATAATCTGGAAGGGAAGGAGGTGTAATTAATTCAAACCTTCAAACCCTAACCCAGTTTAATGAAAACTTACATGACCCTACCAACCCACAATTTCTGCCAGTCCAATTTTTCTCGATAATAGAATGTGAAATATATGTGAACATAATATATTCTGTGAGAGGAACTTCTTGAGAGAGGCCAATATATTTTTACTGAGGGAAGTTAAAAGGAAAACCAATTTATATTGAAGCTGTGGGGAAAGTTAAGGTACTATATAATTAATCCAGAAACGAAATGAACAATTATTTATCTACTGCCATATGCAAATTCATATTTATAGCTTTGATTTGCCTTTTCTAACAGAACTTGCCTGCATGTAACAGGAAACCCATTTCAAACAGGCTTAAACAGTTACCAAGCATTGATCAATATAAATAAAAAAAAAATCCAGAGCTCAGATGGGCTTCAGGCATAGTTTGAATTGGGGCTCAGGATCAGTGTTTATGATTCTTTAGGATTTTCCTTCTGTGTGTCAGTTTCATTCTCAGGCTGTGTTTTCTTATGGTAGCAAAATTGGACCAGCAGTTCCAGGCTACAGCAGTCCAATCTAGAGAAAGATAGATAGCCTGTGTCCTATGATGTATTCTCTGCTGGCTTAGGTCAGATACTTTGACCAATCACTAAAATCTCAGGGATGAAATACACTGATTGGCTTAGCAGGTCATGTGTTCCATCCCTAAACTCTCTACGGCAGTGGTCCCCAATTGTTTTGGCACCAGGAACTGGTTTCATGGAAAACAGTTTTTCCACAGACAGGATGGGTGAGGGGAAGGGGTGGTTTGGGGATGATTCAAATGCCTTACATTTATTGTGCAATTTATTTCTATTATTATGTTCTAATGCATAATGAAATAATTATATAACTCACCATAATGTAGAATCAGTAGGAGCCCTGAGCTTGTTTTCCTGCAACTAGACCGTCCCATCTGGGGGTGATGGGAAACAGCAACAGATCATCAGGCATTATATTCTCATAAGGAACATGCAACCTAGATCCCTTGCATGCACAGTTCACAATAGGGTTCATGCTCCTATGAGAATCTAATGCCACTGCTGATCTGACAGGAGGCAGAGCCCAGGTGTTAATGCAAGTGATGGGGAGCAGCTGTAAACACAGATGAAGCTTCGCTTGCTTACCCACCTGCAGCTCACCTCCTGCTGTGCGGCCTGGTTCCTAGCAGGCCATGGACCTGTATTTGTCAGTGGCCCAGGGGTTGGGAACCCCTGCCCTAGGATGTATCTCTCTGGAACCAGGTGGATTTCCAGTAGAATCAAGGGCTTTGGGGAAATGAAGAATGAATGCTATTCACCAATCACAAATATCTAGTATAGCTTCTTCATTTGAATACCTAGCATCCATGGACACATTTCTTCCTACACATCCTCTTTCAAAAAATGCCACACATAAGTGTGATAAATTCATGTCCCCAAAGGAGAAAAACTTGAAGTCTTATCCAGTTACTGCATTTAGCAGTAAGTTCAAGATCCCTAGTTGATATGCAGCCATCTTTAGATCCATCTTCCTAGCAGTCTGGTCATCTATACTTAAATTATAAACTACTCTTCTCAACACACCCAGTATACAGTAGTGAGGAGATAACCAGAAAAATATAATCAAAACTACCATTTGAAAAAGGGAGGAAATAGGAAACAATGCATAGTAGTTTCTGGTCCAAAGCATATATCATAACCTGTTAGACAAGGACTACCTATCCTAGCAGTTGAGTGACTCTTTTGGTCAAATACCTCTTTGTGTTCTCTGAGACATTCTCCCTTGGAGGCATATCTTGGGTGGATGCCCTTTTTGGGGGTTGAACTGGTCATTCTATTTCATCTTATGCTACTTCTTGCACCTGGGGGTTGAACAATCGAAGGTTTTCTAATTATTGGCTATAATTAGAGATTATTTAGTACAGTAGCTCTCAAACTTTAGTACACATCAGAATCACCTTGAGAACTTGTTAAAATACAAATTTCTGGGGCCCTCTTACAGAGATTCTGATTTAGCAGGTCTAGGGTAGGGTCCACGGGCTTATATTTATAACAAGTTCCCACATGAGACTGATGCTGCTGGTCCTGGGACCCCACATTGAAAATCACTGATTTATAGGTGGCAATTGAGTGAGGTCAGAGTTATTATTTCCTATACTTGCCTGATAAGATTTACCTGGAGCAATTGTTAAATATAAATTGCCGAGCCCTATCTTAGATGTAATGAATCAAAATCTCTTGGGAAGGGACCTGGGACAGATGTACAAGATACCCCAGGTGATTCTTTATCATCAGTAATGATTAGGAAACACTGATCTAGAAAATTAGGTTTTTCTTGCCCCTAGTCTTATTTCCTAATATGTCTTCCATCTGCTTGCCCTTGTTCTCACTAAGCTTAATTTGGGGCAAAAAACTTGGCTTTTCAAATCATACAAAGTTCCAAATTATCCATGTCTCTTTCCACTGGGATTTCACGAAACCAGTGACTAAACTAGCAAAGTTTTGTTTTCTTCTTTCACTGTTTTCAAATAAGCCCATTTCAACAATGGAGATGGTATGCTTGATCTTGACCTAAGAATCACAGATCTGAGGGCCACATGCTCCTCAAGAAAGGATGGAATAAGCGAAAAAAACAATAAAGTCAGCTGATTCGACATTAATTCCAGCTTTTACTAGCTCTGTACTAGCAAGTTACTTAATCTTTGTGAGTCTATTCCTCTTCTTGATAGTGAGGGTAACACTCTTTACTCAGTTCTGTTTAGAGGTATATGAGAAACTATATCCTTAGCATGTAGCATTGTACAGCACAGATGCTTAATAAAGGTGAATTCCCTTTAATTCTCAAGAGGGTAAACCACATGTCCTTTTGGTTAACCTTTATATTTAGCAATGCTCCAGTGACATTTAACTAGTGAATATAGGTCTAGAAATTCTATTACTGAAATGTGAAAGAAATTATTTAAATAATTCTTTGGATGTACATAGCTCTTTTAATCTCTGCTAAGAACTGAGTTTGTTTTCCCAGAGAGCTCGTTAATCTTTATAACATTACTGGACAGTTAAGAGAGCAGGGTTATTATCCTGAATGCAATCATTCATTCATTCATTCATTCAGCTACTTTTTGATGCATTTGCCCAATAGTCATGAATGAGATAGATACTGTCCATTCTGTCAGGGAGCTTACATTCTCATAGAGGGGAGAAAAGCAACAAAGATGTAGACAAATAACCTAAATAACCTGTATGATTTCAGAGAGTGATAAGTTGTATGAAGAACAAAAAGGCAGAGCAATGGATAGAGATGAACTGAAATAAGGGAACTATTTCAGCAAAAGGTTTTCAGAGGAAGGCCTGAGTGGATTAGCAAATAACTAACGAAGCCAGCCCATGCAATGATTTGAGGAAGGAGTGTTCTAGAGAGAAAAAAACAAGTTGAAAGGCTGGAATACCTAATGTCATTTATCCATAGCTATTAATTCAGTAATGTGTTTAACATTGAAACCTAGGGCCTGTGATTCTTCTCTACTGTTCTGCACAGCTAACACTATACCTCTGTTGTTTTCTGGTATTTTTTTTTTTTTGGAGTTTTTAAATATGGTTTTTGTTTGTTTGTTTTTGAGTTTCGTTCTTGTTGCCCAGACTGGAATGCAATGGCCCAATCGTGGCTCATTGCAACCTCCACCTTCCGGGTTCAAGCAGTTCTTCTGCCTCAGCCTCCCTGAGTAGCTGGGATTATAGGCAGGCACCACCACACCTGGTTAATTTTGTATTTTTAATAGAGACATGGTTTCACCATGTTGGTCAGGCTGGTCTCGAACTCCTGACCTCAGGTGATCCGCCTGCCTCAGCCTACCAAAGTGCTGGGATTACAGGCATGTCCCACCGTGCCTGGCCTTAAATATGTTTTTCTGTTGCTATCCTAGAAAGCAAGTAAAGTAGCTAAGAGGTCACTGATTAAATGGAAATGGGGCAGATTTCTTCCTCTACCCCAAATCTATGAAACAGGTACATAACATAAAGTTGAAGGTCACATATAATGTAATGAATGTGTATACCTATTTTTCTGGTTACATTTTCAAGCATATACTACAAGACATTTGCATTATTAGTTTAAATCATTTGCCTTTGGAGGATGTCGGGATGTCAGTAAACATTTGTTGGACACCTAGTATGTGCTGGGCACATCTTAATCTTCACAGGATACTGGAAGCTGAGTGTTACTACCTCCATTTTTCAGATAAGGAGATTAAGCTTAAAGAGAAAAAGGAAACCAGGGTCACACAGCTAGTAAGAGTGCTGGACTGAAACTAGGTCCCTTGATGCCAAGTAATGCTCTAATTATCATTTTTTCCTAATATTTGTATAAAGAAATGGGAAAGAAACATTAGCACCAAGGGAGAAGTGATTCATAGCTGTGATTTTTCTCCATGACCCATTCATATTCTTCCCTCTCTATCACCCTCTTTCTACATACACTTTGTTCCTACTGTTAAATTTACTTTATTCATTCATTTGTTCAACAAATGTATTCAGTGCCTACTTTGTTCCAGGCACTTTAACTAGGCATTTGGGATATTTCATGAACAAAGAATTCAGTGATGCCTCGTGGAGCTTACATTCAAGCAAGGGGAGGCTAACACTAAAAAAACCCCCAAACAAACAAACAAACAAAAAACATAGTAAATTATGTGGGATGTCAAAAAGTGATAACTGTTATAAAAAAGAAAATTAGAACAAGGTAAGAGGGAAGGGAAGTGGTAGATCACCACGGTAAATAGGGAGATTGGGGTGGACTTCATGGAGAAGGTAATATTTGAGCAAAGAAATGAAGGAAGTGAGTTAGCCAAGCATATATCTAGAGAAAGAGCATTCTAGGCAAAAGGAACTACTAGAGGAAAGGGCCTAAGAGATAAGTGTGTCTTTGGCATGTTCAAAGACTAACAAGGAGGCTTATTTAGCTAGAGCTACATAGGTGAAGGAGAAAGACACAGGAGAAGTCAGAGAGGAAGTAAGGGTCTAAATAATATAAGGCATTTTTAAGACTTGACATTTACTCCGCATGAAATGGGGAGCCTGTCACAAGTTGGGTTTTCCCAGGAAACAGACCCAGAAACAAAGTTAATCTTGTAGAAAATTTATTAAGCAGTGCCCTTGGGATCAATACCTGGGGAATAAATGGGAAAGCAGCAGGAGCACAAAGAAAGTGAAGCTCTGAAAAAGACTCAGTGACAGTGTCAACCACACCCACAGGAAGCTTTGGAACTAGAATGGCCGTTCAGAGTTGGGGTAATATTTACAGGCCTTTCAACCCCTACACTAATCACTCTTTGGATGTGGGCTGCCCCAGGAAGGGATGTAGCCTTGGGCAAGGTTGCTTTCAGCACCTGAGGCAATCTCTAATGGGGGTGAGAGCTGAAGCAGCATGATAAGTCCATCACTGAAGCATAACCTGGGTGTTGCACCCCATGTCCACAAACCCACTGTGGATTTTCAGCAGATAATTGACCTGATTTATGTTTCTAAAAAATCTCTCTGCTGTTTTAAGGATGGGCTATAAAGGAGAAAGTGAGGAAGCAGGGAAACTAGTTAGAGTATCGCAGTATTCCCATATGTGAGATTATGATATCTGAGAGGTAACAATGGAGGTGGTGAGAGGTATTTAAATTGAGGGTATATTTTGAAGGAAGAGTAAGTAGAATTTTCTCACAAATGTAAGGAAAGAGAGGAGTCATGGATGGCTCCAAAAAAAAACTGGGAAGATGGAGTTGCCACTGATAGAGATGAGGAAGGCTGTGGTTTGGATGGGTTCTAGGAAGAGGAGAGGCTAGGAAATCAGTTTTGGACAAGTTGAGTTTGAAGGTGTTTTTAGGACATTAAGTGGGGCTGTTGAGCAGTTATTGGAGTTTGCAGTTCATGGGAGAGGTCTGACTAAGCTGGATACATAAGTTGGAAATTTCTCCATGTAAATGATACTTAAAACCATGGGACAGTATGAGATCACCCTAGGGAGTAGGTGTACATAGAGAACAACAGATGACCATGCACAGAGCCCTGGGTCTTAAAGAGATCAGAGAGAAGAGGAGACAAAACAAGAGACTGAGAAGTCACCATCAGTGAGGTAGGAGGTAAACGAAGAGTGTGATGTCTTGGAAGTCCTTTTTGGTTTCCCTCCTCCCCGTAAATCTCTTTGTGACAATTTTTTTTTTTTTCACTTAACCTGAAATGTCAGCTCCTCCACTGTATTTTTTTGCTTTACAGCTCCTTTGAATAAACCTGCCCACCACCAAGAACCTATACATGACTTTCTTTTCATTGTATCAAAGTAATGTGTCCACCGGTGTGAGCACCAGCAACTCACTTCTTCCTCAGACATCTCTAAAGCTGGAAAGATTTTGAGGGACAGTATGGTTTCCTTCACCCCACCCCAATGTTATGAATGAGACCAGGAGACCAACAGCAAACATCTGGAAGGTAAGAGGTTATTTTTTTAATCTCCTCTTTGCACCCTATAACACAGCAGAAAGCAAATGGAATGGATGGAGCAAGTGTCACAAAACAGTGCCTTCGTGAACGAGAGAGAGGGGAGGTGGGCTCTGAAAGCCTAACTCAAAGCTTGGTTGACTAATTAAAGAAGGAAATTAGAGGGCCGCGCTGGTGTGTGCCTGTAGTTCCAGCTGCTGGGACGGCTAAAGTGAGAGGATCCCTGAGTGCAGGAGTTCAAGTCCCATCTGGGCAACATAGTGAGACCTCCATCTCTAAAAAACTAAAATAAAAGAAGGAAGTCAGGGCCAATGAAAGGAGAGCCCTAGTTAACCTACAGCTCTATTATATCAGTCCTCTATTACACATACATAGCCAAGCACCACCCAGATGCTATCATTCGGTGATCTGCCTCTTCTTACCAGCATTTAGTATGGAACACAAAATATTTCTCGTGCAGATGGCCTCAGCGGGGTCCCCAGTAGTCAAGCCCCACCCTGGCATAGTACTGACCTTGCAGAGCCTTTGCTCATCACACTCACTCAGGTCTATTGAAACTGTTGATTCCCATGGATATCTGTTGATTTATTATTTGCTGAATATTTGTTGATAACTGTGGATGTTCGTTGGCTTTAGGGCCTCCCTTGCTTAAACACTGAAGTAGACAAATCACTGCACACAAACTATCAGATTCACCCACACAGTAATTCAAATGGTACTTGGCCCACTTCTTTCCAAAACCTCAGACACTTGGCATGCTATCAGTTACCCTGTATGAGATTGTGACTGTTTCTTAGGAGATTCCATTCTGCATGGGAAGAGAGAAAAGAACTGAAGAGTAGTGGGATGGCTGGGGGAAGGGTAGAGAATCTCAAAGTTTTCTAATCCTCACCTCTTATTCCTTCTCTCTCACTCTCCTTTTTCCCCTCATTCACTAAAATGTGAGTACCCTGCACACATGAGTACCACCAGCTGGAGGGCACGAAAAGAACAGATGTCTCAAGAGTGACTGTTGAAAACTTATCACCCTGCACAAGGAAAGGCAGGTTTTGGAATAAATATTAACATATCAGTATTGTCTGAAATTGATGATGCCTTTTAAAGTGGATAGTTTCACAGAATGAAAATGCAGTTTGTAATTTTGCATGACAAATGGGGTCACTAAACTGCATGAGAGCATTACATAATTTGCCTGGAATGAAGACCACTTTTTCAGCCCAGCATTCAAGGCCCTTCATGATCTGGCTCTTTTCTACCTTTGTAGCTTAACTATTTACTACTGCATTATTTACTATGACTCCCTGGTCCTTATATTTCAGGCCATTTCCTTCAACAGTCCAAGTTGTTTCAAGTCTCTTGGTTTTTGCACTTGTTTCTCCTGCCTGGAATGCGCTTCCTCTCACTGCGTTACCTGTGTGGAAACAGGACTTACTTAAACATTTCATATCTGAAGTCTTTACTTAATTCCACAGCTTGGTCGATTGATCACTCCTTTGTACTCTTATATCTTTTATCCCTTTGTTACAGTATTTACTGGTACCTCCTGTTTCCCCAGAATGACAGCTTCTCTGTGATCTCTTCAGAGGCAACAGCTGTGTGATTGAATTCCTCTCTATATCCTAGACGTTGCCCAGCACGGACAAGGTTCTTTCTGGGGCATCAGAAAGTACTTTTTGACTAACTGATTGGCTGAGAGAAGCAATGCTGGCCCTGGGTATTTTCTTCTCAAGACAAGTAGAAGGGATTTGCCACGAGGGTCCACAGAAGCACTGGAGAAGAGAACTGAGGTGACAGTAATAATCTTATGGCCATTCTTTCAGATGATAACTTCCAGTGCTTCTGTGAGGTCAGATGTTTGTCTCTCTTTTCTCACAAGAAGAAACTGAGAAGGGAAGTGGCAGGTCTCCCAGATCCCCCAAGCCAATCAGCAGTGGGGCTGGAACTCCAACCTTGGGCTCCCAACACCAGACCCTAAACTTCCTGCTCCAGCTCCCCTGAATCTGGGCAGAAGTTATAGCTCAAGCCTGACCTGGATGCATTCAGGATAAGGGGTTTCTCCATATGTTGCTTCTGGCCCTGAGAATGCCATCATGATCCTGGGTGGTCCGTGATGCTGTCCAGGGTGAGCCCATTTACCCTGAGAGGATGTAGTACCTCTCCAAGTAACCATGGAGTCAAGTGTCCATCTCTGGACAGCCTCAGGACAACAAAGATGTTTTCTCACCTATCACTTAGCTGTACATTGTGAACAAACTCAGAGGGAAGCAACAGATAATGGAGAACCTTCTTGCTCCAATTCTATCACCTATTGCCTGTGAGACATGAGGAAGTCAGTCAACTTATCTTCCTTTTGGATCCATTAATTCCTGAAACAAAATGAAAGGCACAGGGAATTGAGGGTGGGGTATGGTACTGACAAGCCATGCACCTCACAGGCTTTTTGTGATGCTCTAGTCATGTAATGAGCAAAGAAACACTTGTGAAGTGCAATGGGATATTTAAGTGTAAAAAAAGGTTACCATAAATCAGTGAGTGAATATTACTCTTGCAGGAAAATGCAGATAGGAAATAAGTATAAAATCCAGAAACCAGTTTAATATCTGCAGTGCTCATCTATGCCATGATAGGAATTATAAGAGAGTTTAGAGCTGTAGTTTTGGGGATTTGAAGCTGAGGAACTTTTTATCCATTGATAAAGTTTACCTTAATAATGTCATAAATCTGGACCTTTAGCTGGCCACCTTTGAAAGTATATAGAGAAGATATGCATAAGAATAAAGGTACCCACAGGGGGAAACCAAATCACAAAATGAAACAAACAAACAAAAACTTTATCATGATTATAACATTTGAATCTGCAGTTTTTTTTTGGTTTGGTTTTTTTTTTTTTTTGGTTTTTTTTTTGAGATGGAGTCTCATTCTGTCTCCCAGACTGGAGTGCAGTGGTGTGATCTTGGCTCACTGCAACCTCCATCTTCAGGGTTCAAATGATTCTCCTGTCTCAGCCTTCCAAGTATCTGTGACTACAGATACCAGCCACCACCATGCCCGGATAATTTTTGTATTTTTAGTAGAGACGGGGTTTCACCATGTTGACCAGGCTGGTCTCCAACTCCTGACCTCGGGTGATCCGCCCACCTCGGCCTCCCAAAGTGCTGGGATTATAGGTGTGAGCCATTGTACCAGTCCTGAATCTGTGGATTTAGAGAGACTTTAGGCCTCTTCTTCCCTCTGTTTGTCCAGTATTATTAGTCAATATATTGCTTTCATTTTCTGGCACTTACAAAAAAAAAAAAATTAACTAATATGTTTCTTTTTTTTTTTTTTCAAATTTTTAATGCCCGTAACATTCTGTACCAGGAGAGGAAATGCCAATTTGTTACTTAGATGTACAGAAGATTGTTAACTGGGTATATGGAAATTAAGAACATAAGCATATACAGACAAGGACTGGTGGTAAGGACAGAAAAACAGAATTTAAGAGCTGTGTGGGCCTTGAGATTATCTAGTCTCCCTCCTCATTTGTACAGAGTATGAAACAGGTCCAGAGAGTGGAAAGGGTTTAAAGTAACTGTAAGGTCCTATAGGAGTCACATCTTAAATCAGTGTGTCTGACTCCCAAGCCACACTGCTACTGCTGCTGCCTCTTCTCCTTCTTTTGTCCCTTTTTTTTGTGAAGGAAATTAAAAAAGAGAGATATTTTTAGTTCTTATTTTATTCCAACCCCATTTTTTTCCATTGTCATTGAACTGTAGTTGATATGTCCTTCCTATTAGTTTATTTTTTCACTATATATGTATCCCCAAAATATATATTGTTTTTGTGTTTTAAATTTTTACCCATATCATGTACTATGCCAGTATTTTTGTATCCTGCTTTTTTCACTCTATTTTTGTGACCTTTTCATATGGATATATAAAATGCCATTTTGTGGCTGTACTACAATGTATATATTCCCAAAGAATGAATATTTAGGTAATTGTCAATTTGGGATTTTTTTTTCTTTTTTTTTTTTTTTTTTTTTTTTTTTAGTTCTTGTTCTAAAATATCCTTAAACATTTCTCCTTTTGCACATGAATTTCTGTTGTGCATATGCCTAGAATTGCTGGGTCATAGGGTGGGCACATCTTTGATTTTGCTAGAGAATACCAAACTTCTCTTCAGAATAGTTACATGGGTGTGTCAGGTGAAACCCGAATCTGCTCTGAGTACGTCACAAGATTTAGTGAGGATCCAAGCAGAACGAGAGTGTGAAAACACATGTGAAGTTGTTGACAGTGCTGTGTCATGAATCGTGAAGGGGCAATTTTAAGTCAGTGTATGGACAACAATGATCATAGGTAGACACTGGATGAATGACCAACTTTTCCTATGAATGAGGTCTTAATTTTATCTACATTAGGACCATGTCCAGAGAATCAGCAAAAATGATTACATTTAATTATGTCTTCATGTTTTGTGAGGGCTTTAGATCTGATATAAACATACAGTACAAAATCCTTTTTAGTAAAGCTGGAAGAGACATAATAGCATCAGTTTCGAAGCAGAAAATCAGCCCAAATTCTAAAGGCCGGTTGTAAACTGGACATGTTTTAGCATGGTTTAGAATGTTTTCAAAGAAAACTAGCACTATGCCTTTGTCTCTGAGAAAAATAGATAAATGAGTCAATTATGTATTTACAGTTTAATTCATATTCAGTTATATTTTGCAACTTAAGAGGCCACTAACAGAAAAATAGAAATAAAAAAATAAATCTCACTTGGAATACTGGTTGTTTTGTTTGCTGGTTGGTTCTTTTAGTGTCCTTTCCTTTTTACTGTGTTTTTGTTTCTAGGTTAAGATGGTGGTAAACTGATGATGCTTCATCTACTTTTACTCTCTCACTGAATAATCCATGATGGACTGGAGAACCTCAATGATTGGTTCACCATACTCTGGCAGAAATTCCTACTGACTGCCATATAGGTAGGGCTTGACTAAGAAACTCTTGGTAACCAATGCAGACTCAGACCTCTTGAAAAAAAAAAAAACCAGCAGGGCTAAGCTGAATAAAAGCCAAAATTACTATGTTTGCCAAATTACACTGTCAGGTTTTGTAGAACAGCTAGGACTCTCATATACCTAAAGATTGTGAAAAGATGTATAGAGATTGCTGAGGTTGTAAATATATGTTGTGTTTAATCTAACACTGTAATCTACAATGGCCTTTCAATGAAAGTTTAAGGAATTTGGAATCTATTCTGCAGGCAGAAGGGAAAGTATTGATGATTTTGAGCAGTGACAATAGGATCAGATGCATGCTTTAAAAGGTCTAGAAGTATAAAGGGTGTATGTATATTAGGGCTGGAGTGGCTGGAGGCTGGGAGACAAACTTATTGCAAGACTCCACATAAAATCATATTTACCTCACTGAGTCCTGTCCTCAGGTAAATACTGTTAATTAAAAGGGTTTCACCATTTATAGAGCCTTCAGATGATTTATCCTTAATGTTATTACCCCCACATGTGCTCATGAACAAGCCTCTCAGATCTTCTGCTCCCGTCTTGTGATGGTAGCATGTTCCTGCTTCTGGTGGTGCTAAACCCTGGGCAATCATCTGTCCTAGGAACAGGTGTTCTTCATGGGTGACTGCTGTGAAACCAACAGGATGGCCTCTTTTCTATTTAATCCTAAGAGTGGGCATAAGGTAAGCATTTGTAAGATTTTACTGAAAGTATTGGAGTATAAGAAGGAAAATGCTACACTGAATATAATTATAACTATTCAGGCACAGACCAATCCCAGAGTCTCTTACCAAGTTGACTCTCCTGTCTGTCTTCCTTTTCTGCCTTCACTTGGCTTCAGACAGCTCACCTTCCAATCACTGGAAGTGTTTAGAGCATCTCCACATGTCTCCACAAGGTGGAGATCAAGGCCAAATTTTTCACCAGCCCCAGATACTGGAAGGAGTATTTTTTTTCTTCATTCATAATCAATGTAAGGACTGCCTTCTAGGTCTTTATTTCATATTCATACATTGAATCTGACAGTGGCAACATATTACCTTTAGAGGAAATTCTGTCTATGCCTAAAGCAGTGTGGTCTAGCTTTATGGTTTGATTAAAGACAATCACAATATCCAATATATTTCCTATATCACATGTAGGCCATCAACAGTCGGATCAAGGTTTGGCTATGTCAAGTCCAACACAGCTCCTAGGCATCAAATGATCATAAACTCTGGAGGTTCACTCTCACTCATGGCACCTGTCTTAAACCGTTTTCTGTTGCTTATAACAAAATACCTGAAATTTTATTAAAAAAATAAAGTTTATTTCTTACAGTTCTGGAGGCTGGGAAGTTCAAGATTGAGGGGCCACATGTGGTGAGGGCCTTCTTGATGGTAGAAACTCTCTGCAGTCCTGAAGTAGCGCAGGGTATCACATGGCAAGGGGACTAAGTATGCTAACATGGTAGCTTAGGTCTCTTTTTATCTTCTTATAAAGCCACCAGTTCTATTTCCATGATAATCCATCAGTGGATTAATCCATTCACAAGGGCAGAACCCTCATGTTCCAATCACCTGTTAAAGGCCATACCTCTGAATACTGCCATCTTGGAGATAAAGTTTCAACATAAGTTTTAGAGGGAATATTCAAACCATAGCATTTCCTTTCTGTGTATTTGTGTGCACACATGTACACGTTTGTAGAGACACAGAGAGAGAGGACTAGAGAGGCAGAGAACGCATATATACACCTGTACATTAAATCCATCTATGTACACATATATGAAGTTGTAAAAATGGAACCATAGTATATATCCTCCTCTATAAATTTCTCCACTTAATAGAATGTGAACATGTTTGTAGGTTCTTTTATACACAGTTACTTCTTTATATAGTATTCCGTTGTGTGAATAAAGCATAATTTATTTAGCAAATCCTTGTTCATATATATTGGAACAGTTTCCAAAATTTGGTTATTATGAACAATGTCACCAAGAACATTGTCATACACATATAATGTGTACTTATACGTGAATTTCAATAGGGTGACCTGTTAATTCAAATATTTATTTCTTATCTTTCCAGGTAAAATATTGGGTAGGTCCTTTGGAGTTCTAGACTAAGTTTGAGATTACAGAAGATATGCTCAACATCCTCCTTTGACCTGGTCCCAGTTTCACAATATTCAATAGATGCTTTATAGTCTCTGGTAAGGAGATGTACAATTCTCTGATTTTACTACAGTTTTTAGGGAATTTTATTTTGTTCATTTCAACAAGAAAAATTACATAAATAGGTAACAGCTCCACTCAAAGCTGTGTTTTAAACAAACAAAATATTGGACTTTGTGAACAAATGTGGTACTTTTTCTTTCTGTAATTATTGGCTAGCAATCTTATTTTACTAAATCTATACTGACAAATTTAATTTGGTCCATTTATTTGAGTTTAAAGATTATTTCATACTCTCCCCAGTGAAACAGTCATGGGCCATTGCTATCCTAGCAGCTTCCCTCAAGAACGATGAGATAGTCTTCTTTTCCCTCTAGAGCATAAATTTCAGTGGCAGGTAAAACTGTTTTAGCATCAATATGCTCACGTCTTCCATGATACGTTTTTCTTCCCTACTAAACTGAAAGTTTCTCTAAGTTACCATAGCCACTCACAAGTTTTTCTCTACCTAACTGAAGTTGCCATCTTCTGCTGATCATTAGGACATTAACTTTTAGAATCATTTCTGTTTTAGCCTCTTATTTTGAAGGCAGCTTTTAAATTTCCTCAGAGAAATTGCAATGGAACGAAAATTTGTTCTCTTTTTACATATGTACCCTTTTATAAGAGATGTAATATTTTTCGATAAAATGTTTAATTAATGCAAAACCATGTCTCTAACAGTGTGAAGGTTATAAAGAGTAATAGTAGTAGAAATATCCATGTACCAATCACACAGAATAATTCTAGTCAGATATAGTTTTTGTAAGGACAAAAAAGAAAATAGATCTAAAGATTTACAGTTTAACGAAGGTTATTTAGATAGGACTCGCTCCATACTTATTCGATTCTCCATTTTCCACTGAATTTCCTTTCCAAACAATGTACAGTATTCTCAATATCTATCAAAACTCCATAAAAGTTATGATTCCCAATTTATTCAGACTGTCCACCAAGATGTTTTCTCCCAAGCATCGCATTCTTGAACCAAGCCATTAAAGACTTGGACTGTGACACAGTTTTCATTCTGAGAACTATACACATCAGTGTAATTACCCTCACCTCCTATTTACTACCCTATAAGGGGAATCCCTATGGCGTTAGGCTTATATACACATCTAGGAGCTCTAAGGACTAGGAAAAGTTAAAAATGAACCACTCAATAAGGTAGCTCTTCAGACCCTTCAGTGCCTACCACGACGGGGAACAATTCCACAGGAAATGGATTAGGCAGAGTCATCCCAAACCTAAGCTGTCTCTACTGGCTACAAATAAACTGTGGAGTTCCAACCCACACTAACCAGCCAGCCATACCCCGGGCTTTCATTCTCATAAAAGACTAAACTACTGTAAACCCAAAATAAAATTCTAAGGCCCCCCCAACCATCTGAATGGACATCCTCCTCTGCCAGGGCACTCTAAAATTTAACCTGAAAAACTGGTTCAGGATATGACAGAAAGTGAGGGGGTCGGACCTGCATCATTATACCCTCCAACATTAGCATAAACACAGACCTTAAGTATGATAAGAAATATTCTAATGTATTCTCTCTGAAGCCGGGCTCCATCAGGATGATGAAACTTTGGTGTCTACAATCTCTTACTATAACCCAGACATTGCATTTTATTGATAATAACTCAACCAGTTGCCAATCAGAAAATTTTCAAATCTACCTATAAATTGAAAGCATCCCCTGCTTCCAGTTGTCCCGCCTTTCTGGACCGAATCGATGTGTATCTTAAATGTATTTAAATGTCTCATGTCTCCCTAAAATGTATAAAATCAAGCTGCACCCCAACCACCTTGGGCACATGTTCTCAGGATATCCTGAGGGCTGTGTCACAGGCCATAGTCACTCATATTTGTCTCAGAATAAATCTTTTCAAATATTTTACAGAGTTTCACTCTTTTCCTCCACACTCTGCCCCCACTCACCACAAAAGCACAATCTCCCGGCTGTTACTGGAAGGTTCCCCCAATTCCCAGATGGAAGGAGGCCAGGAGAGGCCAAAATTTGAGCTAATTTGTTAGTTCTCACCCATCTGCCCCCATCCCGACCTCTGCCCTATTGGTTGTAAGGCAACTTTTTGTTTGTTTGTTTTCCTTGTCAGCCTCCTAGAAACCCTGCCCGCTGCCTAGACAGAACCTATTTATCAAGACAAGGGAATTGCAATGCAGAAAGAGTAATTCATGCAGAGAGGCTGTATGGGACACTGGAGTTTTATTATTACTCAAATCTGTCTCCGCAAGCCTTCCCCGGGATCAGAGTTTTTAAGGATAATTTGCTGGGGAGAGGCTCGGGAAGTGGGGTGTGCTGATTGGTTGGGTTGGAGATGGAATCATAGGGGGTAAAAGTGAGTTTCTCTTGCTGTCTTCTGTTCTTGGGTGAAATCGCAGAGCTGGTTGATCCAGATTACCTGACTCAATCTAGTTGAGCCAGATTACCAGACCTGGAGTGCAGGGTCTGCAAAATATCTCAAGCACGGATGTTAGATTTTGCAGTAGTGATGTTATTCCCAGGAGCAATTTGAGGAGGTTCAGACACTTGCAGCCAGAGGCTGCATGGCCCCAAACCATAATTTCCAATCTTATAGCTAGTTTGTTAATCCTACAAAGAGAGACTCAGACTGGTCTCTAGGCAAGAAGGGGTGATTTGTTTTGTTTTTCTTTCCCCTTTGGGAAAGCACTATTATTAATTTTGTTTCAAAGTTGAACTATAAACTAAATTCCTTCCCAAAGTTAGTTTGGCCTATGCCCAGGAATGAACAAGGCCAGCTTAAAGGTTAGAAGCAAGATGGAGTCGAGTCAATTAGGTCTGATCTCTTTTACTGTCATAATTTCCTCAGTTACAATTTTTGCAAAGGCAGTTTCAGCCTTGCTGGAACAAAGCCTGTGATTGTTTTCAAGGTACCTGACTTACACGACATTTTTAAACTGACCTGGGCCTGCTTTTCTCCCTCCTCTCTTGTCCTAATAGTTGTATAAGGCCAGACTGTGATAACTGCATTTGCTTTTGTCTTTATCCATTGTCCTTTCTGCTTTTGTGATTAGGATGTGATGAGTAGTTCGAAGCATTCCTTCACATTTATCCAATTGGCTATGCTTACTTTTTATATAAAACCGATATTTGCTCTGCCAGTGCATCTGAAAAATCCACCCGTACATTTATATATCCATTGTGGAGGCACCCTCCGAAAAAGCTTTGACTTATTAATGTATTGGTATTATACTAATTGATATAATACTAATAACTGATGGTGTCACAAAACAGAAGAAAAGAGAAAATGCAACCTGTGAATTCAAATTTTCTAGGTGAGAATGTACCCCGGGAGGTCTCTGATCTGTAGGACACTCTTAAAGTACTTCCCTCTTGAATAAAAACCACTTTTTCAGTCTGGCAACTAAAAGCTTTCATGACCTGGCTCCTTTTCCTTTTCCAACTCCACTATTTACTACTCCTGCAGCATTTACTACAGTTTCCAGCTCCTTATGCTTTAGGCCATGCCCCTCAACATCCCAAGTGTTTTAAATCTTCCTTTTGTATTTGTAGTTTCTCCTACCTGGAATTCACTTTCTCCCTTTGCATTTGCTGGGTAAAATCGTGCAAATTATTCTGAACTTACATAACTTGTGTCTGGAGCCTTTCCTTGAAACTGTAGTTAGATAAGTTATGCCCTTTTTTTTTCACTCACCTACGCTCTGTGAACCCCAAATATCTGAGACAGGTCTCAGTTTATTTAGAAAGTTTATTTTGCCAAGGTTGAGGACTGGTGCCCATGCCACAGCCTCAGGAGGTCCTTAAGACATGTGCCCAAGGTAGTCAGAGCACAGTTTGGTTGTTATACATTTTATGGAGACTTGAGACATCAATCGACATATGTAAGATAACCATTGGTTTGGTCTGAAAAGGCAGGACAACTGGAAGCTATGGCAGGATGACTTGAAGTGGGGAGGGGACTTCCAGCTGATAGGTAGATAAGAGACAAATGGTAGCATTCTTTTCAATTTCTAATTAGCCTCTCTAAAGGAGGCAATCAGATACGCATTTATTTATCTCAGTGAGCAGAGGGGTGACTTTGAATAGAATGGGAGGCACATTTACTCTAAGCAGTTCCCAGCTAGACTTTTCCATTTAGCTTCATGATTTTGGTGCCTCAAGATTTATTTTCCTTTCATATCTCCATCCCTCTGTTACTGTATTTACCACTGGTAGGGTGTGTGTGTGTGTGTGTGTGTGTGTGTGTATTTTACACATATAGTAAATCTTCATTTAATGTCACCTATAGGTCCTTGGAAACTGACTTTAAGTGAAATGATGTATGATGAAACAAATTTTACCATAGAATAATTGATATAAACAACTGTTCCGTTCCTTTGGCATATTTCTGGACAAAAACCTCGCCAAACTTCTAAATGAAGTCCTCAAACACATCTAATATTAAACATTGAAATAAACATGAAGTAACAAGTAAGATTATTATTTACCCAATATGTGGTGAATCAATGAATGATGGTGGTTATAGTGGTCATGGGTTAAATCGGGGAATAAATATTTTCCAAAGGGAAAACTGTAATGAGTACGTTCTACTGTCAGAGGTGTGTGAACCAGAGTGACTCCATCTTTAAAGCAGCTAGCTGAAATGAGGCTGAGACCTACTAGGCTGCATTCCCAGATGGTTAAGGCATTCCAAGTCACAGGATAAGATAGGAGGTCAGCATAAGATACAGGTCATAAATACCTTGCTGATAAAACAGCTTGCAGTAAAGAAGCCAGCTAAAACCCACCAAAACCAAGATGGCAACAAGAATGACCTCTGGTCATCCTCACTGCTATACTCCCACCAGCATCATGACAGTTTACAAATGTCATGGCAATGACAGGAAGTTACCCTACATGGTCTGAAAAGGAGAGGCATGAATAACCCACCCCTTGTTTAGCATATAATCAAGAAATAACAATAAAAATAGGCACCCAGCAGCCTTTTGGGCTGCTCTGTCTATGGAGTAGCTGTCTTTTTTTGTAAGTTCCAGTATACATGTGTAGAACATGCAGGTTTGTTACATAGGTATACATGTGCCATGGTGGTTTTCTGTACCTATTGACCTGTCCTCTAAGTTCCCACCCCTCTCCCCCAACCCACCAACAGGCCCTAGAGTGTGTTGTTCCCTTTCCTGTGTCTATATGTTCTTATTGTTCAATTCCCACTTACGAGTGAGAACATGTGGTGTTTGGTTTTCTGTTCCTGTGTTAGTTTGCTGAGGATGATGACTTCTAGCTTCATTTATGTCCCTGCAAAGGACGTGATCTTATTCCTTTTAATGGCTGCATACTATTCCACGGTGTATATGTACCACAGTTTCTTTATCTAGTCTATCATTAGTGGGCACTTGGGTTGATTTCATGACTTTGGTATTGTAAATAGTGCTGCAGTAAACACACATGTGCATGTGTCTTTATAGTACAATGATTTATAACCCTTTGGGTATATATCCAGTGATGGGATTGCTGGGTCAAATGGTATTTATGGATCTATATCCTTGAGGAATTGCCACACTGTCTTCCATAATGATTGAACTAACTTATACTCCCATCAACAGTGTAAAAACATTTCTATTTATCTACAGCCTCGCCAGCATCTGTTGTTTCTTGACTTTTTAATAATCGCCATTCTGACTAGCATAAGATGGTATCTCATTGTGGTTTTGATTTGCATTTCTCTAATGATTAGTGATGTTAAGCTTTTTTCATATGTATGTTGGCTGCGTAAATGTCTTCTTTTGAGAAGTGTCTGTTCATATCCTTTGCTCACTTTTTGATGCAGTTGTTTCGGTTTTTCTTGTAAATTTGTTTAAGTTCCTTGTAAATTCTGAATGTTAGACCTTTGTCAGATGGGTAGATTGCAAAATTTTTCTCCCATTCTGTAGGTTGCCTGTTCACTCTGATGAGAGTTTCTTTTGCTGTGCAGAAGCTCTTTAGTTTAATTAGACTTCATTTATGAATTTTGGTTTTTGTTGCAATTGCTTTTGGCATTTTTGTCATGAAGACTTTGCCCATGCCTGTGTTCTAAATGGTATTGCCCAAGTTTTTTCCTAGGGCTTTTAGGGTTTTGGGTTTTACATTTAAATCTTTAATCCATCTTGAGTTACTTTTTGTACAAGGTGTAAGGAAGGGATCCAGTTTTAGTTTTCTGCATATGGCTAGCCAGTTTTTCCAGCAGGAGATCCTTTCCCCATTGTTTGTTTTTGTCAGGTTTGTTGAAGATGAGATGGTTATAGATGTGTGGTGTTATTATCTGAGGTGTCTGTTCTGTTCCATTGGTCTATATGTTTTGGTACCAGTACCGTGCTGTTTTGGCTACTGTAGCCTTGTGGTATGGTTTGAAGTGAAGTAACAGGTCTTCTTTGATTTCATATGAAATTTAAAGTAGTTTTTTCTAATTCTGTGAAGAATGTTAATGGTAGTTTGATGGGAATAGCATTGAATCTATAAATTACCTTGGGCAGCATGGTGTAGCTATTCTTTTATTCCTTTACTTTCCTAATAAACTTGCATTCACTTTACTGTATGGACTCTCCTTGTATTCTTTCTTGTGTGAGATCCAAGAACCCTCTCTTGGGGTCTGGATCGGGACCACTTTCTGATAACACTACCACCATAAAGTTCAAAAGAATAACATATATGGGACTCAGTGAACATTTTCATACCTAATTGTTTACTGTCATGCACTTGTATGATTATAGTATAGTCTATAAATTTTTTATTTGCCAACAATTTGTATTCATTTATTTTCCAACTGGCTTATTCCAGTTCAGTCTTGGCTGTCCAGAGCCTATCTCAGCAGTTCAGGGCACAAGGCAGAAAGCAACCATAGACTCAATGCCATTCTATCACAG